CTAAATTAGCAGAAGAAAGCAGAAAGAACAGACATTTTTGGAACTAGATTTAAATAAGCTGAAATGAGCACAACAGTTATGAAATTAGGCAAAAAAAAAAAAAACAAAAAAAAAAAACAGCTGAAAAGTTGCTGAAAAGGCAGAAAAAAAACATAAACAACCAGAGAAGTAGAAAGAGCTGAAATGAGCTAAAAAAAAAAAAAAGTAGAATTAGCTGAAAAAGCTAAAATTAGCATAAAACAGCTAAGTAGTAGCTGAAATAGAAAACAAGGTTAAAACTAGAAGAAAAAAAGCTGAAATGAGCATAACAAGCTGAAATTAACTGAAAGAAGTTAATTAGGCTGAAAGTAGCAGAAATTACCACAAAAAACTTGAATTTACATGAAAACAGCTGAAATTAACAAAAAATGCTGAAAAGGTAGCTGAAAATGTAGAACAAGCTTAAATTAGCTGAAGAAAGCAGAAAGAACACGTTTGCTGAAAGATGCAGAAATTAGCACAAAAAAATAAAATTTATATGAAAACAGCTGAAATTAAAAAGGCTAAAAAAGGTAGATGAAAACACAGAACAAGCTTAAATTAGTTTAAGAAAGCAGAAATAACACATTTGCTGAAAGAAGCAGAAATTACCACCAAAAAAAGTAATTTTTCTGAAAAAGGTTGAAATTAGAAAAAAAAATTAAACTACCGAAAAGTAGCTAAAAAGGCAGAAAAAAATCTGAATTTACCAAAATAAGTGGAGAGAGCACATTTTACCTGAATTGGAAAAGTTGAAATGAGCGCAAAAATGTGGAATTAGCTGAAAAAACTTAAATTATCATAAACTAAATAACTGAAATAGCAGAAAAAGCTGAAACTTTCATAAATGGGCTGAAAGGAGCATAACAAGCTGAAATCAGCAGAAAGAAATTAGAAGAAGCACAAAAATGATGTAGTTAGCAGAAAGAATCTAAAAGAACTGAAAAAAAAAAACAGCTGAAATTATCTGAAAGTAGCTGAAAGTTTGCACAAGGAAGCTGAAACAGGCTGAACCAGAACAAAATGTGAAAGGAGCAGTAAAAGGTTGTAAACAGATCTAAAGATTTGAAGGATGAAAAATGAGCTCAATTCATTTTCAACGAGGAAAAAATGTCAGAAAAGGCTAAATATTTCAAAAAGCTAAAGTTTCACCAATACCAAAAGTCAACGCAGGATTGTCCTGAATGAGCTGAACGTTTTGATTTACGATTTGTTGAAATAGCACAAAAACTAAAATGGATCACAATAGTGTGAACGCTTCATAAACATGCACACAATAATAAACAAGCTGAATATATGATGAGTGCGTGCAAATAATGTGTTTTAAGTATTTTGGAAGCTAAAAAAAAACATATGCTAGATGTTCTTGTCCAAACACAAACACAGCAGGAAGTGACCCTTTGGTGCCGTTAGATTACCGTCCTAACATGCACAAAACTCTGCTTCTGCTCGGCTCACAGATCCGACACACTAGACCCAGACGCACGCACACAGCAGTTGCTATGCGACACAGAGTCCACTCAGTTTGTCGAGGGTAAAAACAATTTTCTTGAGTAGATTTTAAGTTGTTTTTCTTTTTGTGGCTGTTGTGCTCCTCGTGGAAACTACTGTGCTGTTATCCAGCAATCTCTCAAGTAGCGTTCAAGGAGGCTGAAGTAGATGCAAATGTTTGCCAGGGAGACTGGCAATGTTTTACTGGGTTTTTTTTCTTTTTCCACCGATCTGTCTTTAACGTCTCGGTGTACGAAGTAGCAGCTGTGTAAACACTCCTACCTCATTCAGCTCACTATTATTAGCCATCCATCTCTTTACATTCCTCATCTCCATTCCTCTTTCGGCCTTTTCTTTTTTGACGTGACCCCGCGTTCTCCCCTCATCCATCCTTCCATCCACCCATCTATCCCACTGAGTGAAAGCTTCATTCCATCCACCTATTCCAGCATCAGCCATCTATCTCATTTTCTGCTTCCACCCCGCCCTTCTCTAGCGCTCTGCTCATCTATAAATTCGATCAAACCTTCGCCCGGCCGCTTGTGCATCCATCCATCCAGCTGTTCACCTATTCCCCCTCTTCACGAAATGCTCCCTTTTCCCTTACAACCCTCCGCTTCATGCGTCCCACCTTCATACATCATTAGGCAATCTATATGTCACCGCTTCTCACTTCTCTAAGCCCGTCTGACGCCATTTCTCCGTCGAGCCGTTCATACCTCTTGGTAGCGGGCCAGACCCCCGTTGACGGCGGCGTCGATGACCCCGTTGAGGCACATGGTGAGGGGGTTGATGTTCTGCATCTGCCGGCTCTGACACTGCGTGATCAATGTGCGTAATTGCAGGTTCTTGTTTTCGATTACCTCGATGGCGTTCTCCAGCGGGCTCACCTCCACCTGTGAACACGGAGGGTGCAAAAACATTTATTTGACACTTTAGGGCTCTTTTTTTTTTTTTTTTTTTTACTGCAGGCAGCTTCATAACAAAATCTTTCAAACCTACTAGATGAGGTGTAACAGTTTGAGCTTAGAGGCAATAGCCTTAGAACAAAACAAGGTGTATTATAGTATAAGTCAAGGCTATTCAACTGGGGGTCTGGGGGCCAAATCAGGCCCACAGGTGAGCTCAGTTTGGCCCACCAATGGGTTCATTTTTAAGTCAAACCGGAAGTGCTGGATGTCCGGCCCCTGAGCTCGTGGCTTTTAGGAACTGTGGCCCCCTGGGCAATTTAATTGAATAGCCCTGGTATAAGTCAACTGAAGGCACCTGGGCCATGTTTGGTCCATGGGCACACACCATCTGCTCCGTGAAGTGTCAAATTATTAATGAACTACACACACACTGGTAGGCCTGTCACAATAACAAATTTTACTGGGCGATTAATTGTCTCAGAAATTATCGCGATAAACGATAATATTGTTTGAAATTTGACAATAATTAGTAACTGTCAAATTTAAGAAGGAATTTTGGTGAATTTGTTTTGAGTGTAGTAACTTTTTTGACTTTTTTTTATAATAAAAACTTATTGCAATGAAAGAAAAACTTCTTACAAATAGCTGAACGTTAAAAAAGACAATTAATTTACAATGTTAAAAACATTTTAAACCTTTCGCTGCTGTGTGCTGTTTTAAACCAAATAAATAACATGCTGTCATTTATTTATATTTTTTTCTCACGTTTCTCCTGGACAGACACTAGAACAAATGTATAAAAGTAGTTTTTCATGGCAAAGTTTTAAACAAGCATCCTATTCAAAATGTGTTGATCAGAAGAAGAGTTGAGGATGACTCTCAACTACTACCATATCAAATTTTAACTCAATATCCATAACATGGAATTATAGTCAGTCGTGCTCTCTAAGGTTGATGTCCAGTGGTTAATGACACATTTTGCTAATAGAAGATATGAAAAGTTGTTCATGTTTATCTTTATTTATATTTAACAAACATGTAGCAAATGGTCACTTCAGCACATAGTGTTCAATGGTCACTCTTCCTTTCAGCCTGCAGCTGCTTTTGTCTCACACAAAGCCTAATCCTTTTGCCAATTTCACATTTCATACACTATTGCATAACCATCACAGGGCTATACTGGCTTTACGTTTCACAATTTCACACCACGCTCAGCAGCTGTGAAGTAAAGAAAATGCACTTACACCTTAACAGAGAGACCCTGCATTGTTTTGTCTTTTTGCACGCATAGAAAAATATTAAATAAAACGGCATTTTAAGTCAACTCAGTCCATATAGGTCTGAACGAGACCATCTAAAACAAAAAGGGTCTTTAGGAGATTTATGTGCGACACAGTGCGATTCTAGCCTCATAAAGTAAAACAGACCTGGCATTTCTTGACGAAGTGCATATCACCCGCAGTCTTTCATGTCAAAGTTTTAGACTAAAACTTTTATACTGAGATTTGATAGCGCTATAGCTATTTTTAGCTATAGTTAGCACTTGGAGTGTGGGTTGTGGATGACTCTCAATTACCACCACATCAAATGTTTAGTCAATATCTGTATAACTGAGTTATAGCTAGGCCTGTCACGATAACAAATTTTGCTGGGCAATTAATTATCTCAGAAATTATTACGATAAACAATAATATTGTTTGACATTTGACAATAATTGGTAATTATTGTCAAATTTAAAAAGAAAAGGTTAATTTTTGTGTGTAGTACCTTTCCTTGACCACCGGATGACAGTATAAGACTGTTTGAACCAAAGGTGCGAGCAGCATTTCTCTTTAAGATAAATGGGAGGGAGGCCCCTTGACGTGACATGGGCTGTCTCTTGTTCCTGTTTTTCGGTTCTCAAAATGGCAGACAGTCGGTGTGGTTTGAGCTCTTTAGCATAGCATTTGTCACACAAAGCTTTTAATTTAAAAAAAGGTCAATAAACAAGTTCTCAGCTTGTTTTTGCAGAAAAAAATTTTTTTTACACAAAGGCACGGGTTTCAAACGTGAAGTTTGGAGCTTCGACAAGACGGAGGTTTATTCCCTGAGGTCGGCCTGTTAGCTTAGCTCGTAGCTTAGCTGCTTTTAATGATCCAAAAACACGATTTTGGACGGTTAAAATAGATTTTAAAGAGAAAGGGAGGGGTCAGTGAAGAGCACCTGAGTTGAACCTTTTGTCATCCAGTGTCTTCAGTAGAGACGAGAAGAAACGATAGACAGTGAATGAAAATGAGGTCGATAATTTTCATTCGTCATGCGATTAATTGATTTATTGTTTATCGCAACAGGCTTAGTTATAGCCAATTATGTGTTTCCTAAAGTCAGTTGGCTATGATAGCTAAATTAAATGAGGTTACAGGTATCTAAAGTTTATTTCCAATTACATTTTTTCTGAGAATTTCATTAAAATGTGTCCAGTGGTTCATGCGTTCATTTGCTAATCGGCAAACGTGGTTGACTTTCAGTTATTGGTGTGCTCAGAGTAGGCAATGTGAATAACACTCAGCTACTACTACACCAAAGTTAAGCAAATACATTAGTAAAAGTCACTGATTTATAGTCATTTTTATGTTTCCTAAGGTTAATTGGCTGTGGTGGTCATCTTTATTTAGACTGGCTCTAAAGCCAGTTGTAGTGGCACATCTATGGACTATCTCCTGAAAGTTTCATTCAAATCCGTCCAGTGGCCGTGAAATCAAACACGTATTCTATTCAATAAAATATATATTTTTTTAAACTCAAATCTAAGACAAGTTGTTACAGTTCCTCCTGTGTGCGATGTGTGCTGCATTCAGGGCTTTCTGGTGACTTTTAAAAATGCTCACACTTACCAGCTCTTTCTTCTCCACTTCAAACCAGCGGGAGATGCCTGGGAGACTCTGCACCAGCGTCAGGGTTGTCCTTTCCACCCACAGGCTCTGCACAAACCCACAACACTTCCATCAGAATCAGAATTTTATTTTTTTTTTAAACCCATAAGTGCCTGACGCACACACCCACCCCAGTTCTGGCAGACTGAAAATAATTTAATCGCCAACATGTAGTTTAAGGAATAAAAACATGGTCTGAGCACAGATATCGGCAAACAGCCGGTTGTGGGTGCAGGTCAGGTGTCGTGTCTCATCTCTTATATCATCATTCATGTTCCAGTGCTTTCTGCAGTCAGCCGGGATGCTTGTCAACGTGCCAACATCCCACAAGGTCACTTTGACAGGACGTAAACTACGGAAACTCTAGTATTTACTGGAGGCTATTAACATAACAGATTCACTGGATAGAGGAGCAGCTTTAATTCAATTTAGACTATGTTGTAAACATGTCAGGAAACATGAGGGATAGAAAGCTGTTCGGGTCATTTTTTATGCACGGTAAGTTTGCCGTTTACGGAAAGTCCCTCGAACTCATTTTGTTGTATTAGATTACACAAAGTTTGAAGCACTTTAGATTATAAAGCGGAACGTTTTCTGCTGGGATCGCCACAAACAACCATCAACGTGCAGATAAAGGACAACTAGATTTAGTTCAAGCTGAGTTTCAAGCCTGGATTTTTTTGCTTTAGGACTCTGAAAAAGAGCAGCTGAGAGCTGATGTGCAGTATTGATCCAGCATCCTCGAGCTGAAGGAGGGTCTTCCGACTTGCTTCACAACCCGGCTCCCTTCTATTGATTTTGTGCTTTTAAAGGCCACGAAACCCACCTGAACACAACTTAGGGGGAGGTAAAAAAAAACATATATTAAAAGCAGGACGTTAAAAACAAAATAAAAAATAAATACAATTCCCAATCTTTTTGGAAAAGGCCAATGAGAAGTTTGTTTAGTTTTGGGAAAGGCTTTTCTTTAAAACTTTAATGACTTATTAGATTTTTTTTTGTTACAAGCTATTTCAGCAGCCATGGAAATCCAATATCATGATTAAATTTAGCTAAAGAACTTTGATGAAAGTGCAAAGAGAAAACAACGTGTGCCATTATGAAATATTTACAAGAACTAGAAACTGCATTTTCTGTAACGATGCAGTGTGAATGATCATTGTTGATTTAATTTTAAAAAAAGGCTTGAAACTGATTGCTTAAAGCTAAAAGAAATAAAGCACTAGTTAAAAGCTAAAGGAAAGAAAATGGTTGCTCCAGGGTAAACCCAGCTAAAAGTAGTAAAATGCTAGGTATAAGCTGCAGAATGCTAGCCAAAACATAGTAAACGCTTCTAAAAAGGTAAAACTACACAACTGTAAGCTAAAAGTAGCTAAATGTTGATGAAAATGTAAAAGTAGCAAAACCATACTTAAAAGCAAAAACTACAAAATTGCTAATTAAAAGCAGTAAATCACAAATTAAAGTGTATAAGTAGCAAAAAGTTAAAAGCTCAAAGTAGCAAAATGCTAACTAAAACAAAAAAAAAAGACCAAAAACCTTAATAAAAGTTGTAAAACACTAGCAAAAATTAGCAAATTGCTAATTTAAAGAGATTAAATGCTAGCTTAAAGAGAAAAGTAGCAAAATGCTAACTTTAAAAATGCCAGAACGCTAGCTAAAATGTAAGAGTAACAACATTTTTATTAAAAGTATCATAACACAACTAAAGAAAAATAGCAAATTACTAAAATTAACAAAACGCTAACTAAAACCTGCAACATGCTAGCTAAAATTTAATAATAGCCAAATATAATCAAATAGTAAAGTACACATGCCAGCTTAAATGAGAAAAAGCTAGCTAAAAAGGTCAAAGTAGCAAAAGGCTGGTTGCAAACTAAAAGTTGGAAAGGATAGCTAAACGTTGCAAAACGCTAGCTAAAAGCTAATAGCAACAAAACAATAATTAAAAGTATTAAGGCACTGGCTTAAAAGATTAAAGCTAAAAAGCTAGCTAAAAGCAGAAAGTGGTGAAAATATTTTGACATGTATAAAAATTCCAAAGCCCAGTCAGAACGAGCTAAACTTCTTGACATTTGGATGAATAAAGTAGCAGAAGAAGCAGTCAGAGTAGAAACAGAGGAAAAGACGAAGAATAAAGAGAAACAGGATCACTATAGTATGAATGCTAAATCAGCATTCACTCTAAAACTGAGCTCTGTGTTCCAGATGTGCACGTGTCTGAAAGCTACGGCTCTGACTAGCGCCTGCAATTTTGTGCGCAATTAGCATTCCTGATGAATAAAACATGCGGGCTCTTCAGATTAATACCCGGTTGCAAACTACCACTACCTACGCACTTCATAATAAATAACCAAGACAAATAGTTCTGAGGAGAAAAATGTTAATGTGCTTAAAGTAGGATTTTAACTTTTAAATTGGTCACAAAAAGTTACATTTTCGTGTTTTATAGTAATAAGTATTCTGCAGCTGCTCCCCTTACAGTCAAAGGCCACCAAGTATTTTTCCAACAAACTATTTGTGAATACTGTATGTCAAAATAACTATTTAAAATGATTTAAGTGTTCTTTAATACAGTCATGGGAAAAAAGAAGAAAAAACCTCTTTCACTTCTCCAAGGTTTCCACACCAGAACATAACCATGATCTGATCCTGGTAATTTACCTGGTAATTTGCTAGTCTGGAGCAAAAAGGTGGGTTTCAATACAATGCAAAGGTGGAAACACAACAGCAATGACCTTAAAAAACAAACAACTGCTGCTGCCAATTGATCTGCATCGTCATTTCTAAGCAACGTGGGAATCCGCAAGTCTACAGGGAGAAATATTCATGAGTGGAAAACATTTAGGACAGCTGTCAATCTTCTCAGGAGTGGGCTTACCAGCAAATTCACCCTGAGGTCAGACTGTGCAATGCTCAAACAGCTTCATGTCAGGCTCGACATACCTCAGGCGTTAAAGTTCGTGACGGGACAGTTGGAAAAAAACTGAGCAACTACGGCTGTGTGGAAGGGTTGCAGAGAACAGGGTGCGAAAATGGGTTTCCAGTTTGCATCCGAAGGAACCATATAACACCTGGAACACCTGGAACAATGTCTTTGGACCCACAATGCACAGCGTCACGTTCAGTAAAACTCAAAACACAGCAAATAAGCACAAATATCTCATAAAAACGGTAAAGCACAGTGATAGTAGGATGATGGTGTGGGCTGGTTTTGTAGCCACGAGACCTGGGTACCTTGCAATGACCGAGTGGACCCTGAACTCCTCTGTAGACCAAAGGATTTTACTCAAATGTGAGGCCGTCTGTTCAACCTGAGTCATAAAACAGGACAAAGGTCCCAAACACAGCAGCTCATCCACTACAGAATGGCTGACAAAGACAAACTCCAGCTGTTGCAATGATCTAGTTGAAGTCTGGAACCTCAACCAGCCTGAACTCCTGTGTTGGGATGTCAAGAGAAGCATCTAATGTCTGCAAACCTCAAGGAACTGAAGCAACGTAAAGAAAACTACAAGTTATGGGTGCTAAAGATGGTAGGCCTGTCACGATAACAAATTTTGCTGGGTGATTGTCTCAGAAATTATTGCGATAAACGATAATATTGTTTGTAATTGACAATAATTAGTAATTATTGTCAAATTTAAGAAGAAATTTTGGTTAATTTGTTTTGTGTGCAGTACCTTTTTTTTTACCACCGGATGGCAGTATTAGACAGCTTGAACCAAAGGATGGATAGTGAGGGAAAAAGCAGCGCGTCTCTAAGAAAAATGGGAGGGAGGCCTCTTGATGTGACATGGGCTGTCTCGCTTTCCTTTTTTTCAGTTCTCAAAATGGCGGCTGCTCGGTGTGGTTGGAGCTCTTTAGCATAGCATTTGTTACACAAAGCTTTTAAAAAAAAAAAAAATCAGTAAACAAGTTCTCATCTTATTTTTGCAGAGAAAAACAACTTTTTACACAAAGGCACGGGTTTCAACCGTGAATTTTGGAGCTTAGACAAGATAGACGTTTTTTTCCCAAGTCGGCCTGTTAGCTTAGCTCGTAGCTTAGCTGCTTTAAATGATCCAAAAACGCAATTTTGGACAGTTAAAATGGATTTTAAAGAGACAAGAGAAAGGGGAGGGGTCAGTGAAGAGCACCGGAGTTGAGCCTTTTGTCATCCGGTGTCGTCATTAGAAAGAGAGAGACATGAAGAAACAACAAAGCCGATAAATGAAAATTAGGTCGATGATTTTCATTTATCATGCGATTAGTTGATTTACTGTTTATCGCGACAGGCCTAAAAGACGGTTCTACAAACTGCTGAATCATGGGGAGTATCTAGTCTTTTCGTGAATGGAGCTTCCCCCTTTATTTTCCCCGTGACTTCATAGATACATTTTTTTTTCCCCTGTACCTTGAACTCATTCTCTTTGTCCTTGGTGCCCTTGTGAAAAGGCCGGTCGTATCTGAACCTCCAGATGTGATTAAACTTGTAGAAGCTCTTGATGTTGTCGGGCACTCCGTCTCGCTGCAGCACGTCCTGGCTCTCCGGGATGGGAGTAACGGCGTAGATCTGCAGGTCTGAAAGCACCGCGAGTGAAGGAAAAGTGCCAGGAGAGCAACGAAGGGAAAGCACCGCAATGTTTTTATCCCGATGACCTGGAAGAAATGTGGCAAACCTGACGCAAACAGTCGAGTTTCTACTTTTGGCTCACGGGAGGAAAAACCCGACAGAACATGTGACTCGTGAGGCCTGTCGGAGTGATTCAACAAAGCCTCGCCTTCATGATGAGGAACTCTGATGAGCGGCTTCACAAAACGGAGGACAGCGAAGACGTGTGAATTCAAACGCATGAGCGTTCGTGACACGAACGGCTGAGCACTCGGACAAATATTCTATTGATTGGTGTTAACGTGAGAACCTCTGCTCAGACAGTCACTCATCAGCAGCTGAACAACGGCAACATTTTACACAAAGAGCTGAAAGGTACACTCGGAAAGGAGTCATCTTAGCTGTGGCGCATTTACTGCGAGTACTGGAAAAGTTGGAGCTCGCCCTTAATAAAGTTGAAATCATCTGCCAGAGCAGTCTTCATCTCAACTTAATTATCGCCGAAAATTCGGTTTGTATTGAAGCCAGAATGTCTCGACTTCAGGGACTCGATGGTCTTTCTAGAGCACGGTGAGGGCGGAGCCAATTTTCCCATTCCAGAAGCCCCGCGGTCCGAGGCTGCTAGGTGCAGCGGCCACAGATTTCTGAATTTTCACATTGTAGCTCTTTCGATTCAATCCTGCGACAACGCCGATCTCAGGAGAAGAATCCAACGCGGAGGCGGCAAGATTATTATTATGAAAGGCAGCTTTTAAAGAGAGCTAACGGGAGCCAAGCAGAGCGTGGCTTATCGTCCTGCGGCCATCTTGAATCTGGCTACTGGACAAGTTGGAATTTAAATGGTCAAACTTAGTCACAACCAGTGTTTTATAATAATCTTAGTCTTTAATCCAACAAAGTTCAATCAGGTCATCTGAACAGTTTGTTTTTTTGGTTGTTGAGACGTTTCGTCCTTCATCCAAAGGACTTCATCAGTCCGAGGAGCCACAACAAACTCAGTCCCAGGCAGCCAAAGCCAAAGTGGTTCAAAAGATTTTTCACATTTTTATTTTTTGAAACAAGTGCAAAAGACTTGTTTTGAACCACTTTGATTATGGCTGCCTCAGAAGAGTCGCCGGGGGAGAGGGCGGGCCCCAGAAACCATCTTAGCACCAGCAAACTGGTTGGTCCACTATGTGAGTTTGCTGCTTTTGTTGTGGCTCCTTGGACTCATGAAGTCTTTTGAAGGAAGGATGAAACGTCTCAACATTAAAATAAACCGTCCAGATGATCTGATGATGTTGGGATTTTTTTTTTTTACCTGGATTATTGAGCATGAACTTTGATGTTTAGCCTCGACTTTAATATATGAAGTCTTGGGATGGGCGGAGCTTATTTTTCCTTTCACTTTATTTGTCAGATTGGTGTATTTTGAAAGGGGAAAAAAAGCTTCAAATATCACATGGGGCACCCCTTTTCATGAGAGAACGCTCAGAAATGAAATATGGAGTTTACGTGACGGAACCGGTGTTGTGGTACTCGTCATTTTTGAAGTACGGGTAGTCTTTTAGGTTTTGTCAGGCCAGACTTAGGGGAGAAAGCCCTGCTTTGCTGGACTTTCTTTCGTAGCACCCGATCGCCTCACGTCGTGTTGCCGCTCCTCTATGTAGGCCAACAGTTGCCCCGTACAGTTGCGTGAATTATTAACGAGGCCCACATTTGCTATGAATGGAGCTGAACAATGCATGGGAAGGAAAACCGGGGAGGGGGTTAATGCAAGTCAGGGACTTGATTTATGGACAGCGAGGGGCATGGAATTAGAAAAAAAAAAAAAACGATGCACGGAGTCGCTTTTACAGCCACGCATTCAATATACGTCGACCTACATCACACAAATGAATGCATAATCACCCTACTTAAAGCCTTATTTTCTGTGATGAATTAGTACGTTGTGTCGGTTTCTGGCGTTACATTTGGGAGAGCATTAGCTGCAGCTCTAGAAAAAAACCCAGGTTTACACAGGAACCTGATCATAATGCAGGATGTGGATGACTCTCAGTTACCACCGTATCAAAATCAACCTTAATTGTCAGATTAATTTAAATTAAGCCATTTGTTCTGTTTGATAAAGGCAATTAGCTGTAGCAGCCATTTTGATTCAGGCTGGCCCCACAGTCCAGTGATTATTTCCTCTAAGTTTCATTAAAATCCATTCAGTGGTGCGTGCGTTATTTTGCTAACAGGCTGACACAGTCGACTCCAACAAACTAAAAGCAAAAAATTTAACTATCTGTTAGTGCTCAGAAAATATGCTGTAAATCAATTTCAGCTACTACCACACCAAATTTCAGCTCGATATCTGTCAAACTGACTGAGTTATTGCCATTATTCTGTTTTTAAGAGTCACGTTGTTGTGGCAGCCAACTTGAATTGGGTTGACTCCAAAATGTAAACAGTTAGAGTTGCATATCCAATAATTATTTTCTGCAAGTTTTGTTAAAATTGATCCGGCGGTTTATGAGATATTTTGCCAACAGACAGAATTCCACCCAGCCAAGGATACACTGCGCGTCGGCCTGGTATATGGTCTGGTCTGGCTGGTTGACGTGCTGCATGGCGATGGCGTGGGGGAACTCGTTGAGCATCCGCTGCTGGAAGGCCTCCAGCCTCTCGTAGTCATGGCCGCGGCACACAAACTCCTTATTCTGCGTCAGATCAGAGAGAGGAGGGCGGGGTTAGCCTGCCATCTGGTGGCCTCGTGCTGTAACTGCAGCTCCACCAATAGAGGCGGTTACATCATTAAACAGCTGCTGAATGTCACCTTAACGCTGAAGGAGTGAATTCTTTCTGCAAGATTTGTTTAAGGTTTAAGAAACAGAAGGAACAATGGAGATTTTTTTTTTTTTTTTTTACCCGTAGGAAGAAAGGGAACTTCTTTCCATAGAATCCAACTCTGAAGAACTCGGGTTCTAGTCTTTGCTGGTCCATGATTTTGTCGTAGAGCGACGCTTCCATCATCTGCGGAAGAAAATCAATTCATGCATCAACAAACAAACAAATCAGACAGATTAAATTAAAAGTGAAGTGTTCCTCGAAGGAATGCGTATCGCCAAGTTTCTGGTCGATGTTTTGGTGAAACGGTTTAAATAATTTCCTGCGTAATCTCCTAGCACTCCGAGTATGGATTAGGGATTGAATTCAGCTACTACCACACCAAATACTATCCTCGTAACTGTTAATCTGATCGAGTTATACCAGATTTTGTGTTTTCTTATATCAGTTAACTGTGGCAGCTTCCATGATTGTGATTGATTCCAGAAGATAAACAGCTGTAAAGAAACATTTACCGATTGTTTCATAAAAGTTTAATTAAAATCCTTCCAGTGGTGCATGAAATATTTTGCTAACAGACAGGCAGCATTGACATACAATTAGTTTATGGCAGTTTATTGTAAAGATCTCACACAATCTGCTAGTAGTCAGAGTATAATTTAGAGATTAGGGTAAAGCTACTACTAAACCAAATTTTACCTAAATACCTGTAAAACTAACAAGAACTGTAGCCATTTTTTGTTGGCTGGAATTGATTAGCTGTGGTGGCCATCTTGAATTAGATTGACTACAAATGTTAATCAGTTGTAGATGCAACTCTAATAATTACTTTGTAAAGGTTTTGTTGAACTCCATCTCCTGGTTAATGAAATATTTTGCTAACAGACGCATAAATACAGACAAACAGGCTAAAAAATCATTGCCTGCTTTTTAGCAGGTGGGCCATAACATAGATACTTTATGAAATGTAAAATAATGCTCAACACATTTAAGGTTTCCTTTAACTTACCCTCATTTTGCTCAAGTTTCTGTAGTCGTAGTAGGACTCGTACTGGTCAGCGAGCTCCCTGCACAGAATGATGCCGTTCTCCCAACACTGGCAACACAGAAAAACAAAAAAAAAAGACAAACATGTCAGCAAAAAGCAGAAGCTCCTGCTCCGGCTGATTGTTGCTGAACCACTTGATGGCGCAGCTGAGTCAACAGCTGGAGTCAGAAGCCTCCAACCACCACTGAAGCTTTCATTTCCTGCTGCCTACTGGTCCCTTGAACGCATCGGCAGCTGGTAAACGTGAAGGAAAAGTGGACTCTGAGTAACGAGTGAGTGATTTTAATCATTCTGCAGTGCTGTGAAATTCATCAGGGACACTTTGGATGTTCCCACCACCCTTCTTTTTTTATTTGCATGCTACATCCACTGGAGTAAGATAAACAGATAGAACGGCAAAATGTGGGAAGAAGCACAAAGCACCGTTTAGGAGCATATCTGAGATGAATCAAAAGTCTGAGCTGTGATCTCACTCCTGCCCGTGAGTCAGAACCAGCGCCACTGTGGCTTCATCTGAGGAGTGGTGTCAAACGTGAAACCTGCTTTAATTACAGCCACCAGCGTTTAGACTGATCCAGACAACAAAGTGTTAATGATTCACACATTATCTGGAGATGGACTCCATTTACTGTAAAATCTGTCTGTGTGTAGCCAACGAGCTTCAGTCTGGATCGGCAAATATTAAATCTAACTAGAGAAATTGCATTTCCTGCGAAAATGCAGTGTGAATGTTTATTGCTGGATAATTTGCAAAAAAAACAGCTAAAATTAGCTAAAAACGTGCTGAAATGTAGCTGAAATGGATGAACAAGCCTTAGCAGAAGAAAGCAGAAAGAACACATATTTGCTGAATTTGGTTTAAATGCACGGAAATGAGCACAAAATTTAGTAAATTAGCTAAAAATGCGGAAATTAGCAAAAAATAGATGAAAAGTAGCTGAAAAGGCAGAGAGAAGCTTAAACTAGAAGAAGTGGAGAGCACAACTGTACCCAATTAGGCTTAAAGAAGCAGAAATAAGCACAAAAAAAGTGAAATTATATGAAAAAAGCAGAAATTTGAGGGGAAAAAAAACAACAACAGCTGAATAGTAGCCAAAAAAGCAGAAAGAAGCTTACATTACCAAAAGGAAGTGGAGAGCACATTTTTGCTGAATTAGTCTGACAAAAGTTAAAATGAGTGCAAAAAAATGTGAAATTAGCTGAAAATGCTGAAAACAGCTAAATAGTAGCTGAAATAGCAGAAAAAGCTGAAACTTTCAGAAATAAGCTGAAAGGAGCAAAACAAGCTGAAATCAGAAGAAATAAGTTAGAAGCACAAAAAATGTTGTAGTTAGCAGAAAGAATCTGAAAGGAGCACAAAACAGCTGAAAGAACAGATGAAATTAGCTGAAAATAGCTTAAAAACTGATTAAATTTGCACAAGGAAGCCGAAAGAAGCTGAACCAGAACAAAGTGTGAAAGGAGCAGTAAAAGGTTGTAAACACATCTAAATATATGAAGGATGTAAAATGAGCTCAATTAATTTTCTATGAGGAAAAAAGTGGCAGAAAACGCTAAATATAAAAATTTTTAAAAAAAAAGCTGTGTCATAGCAGGATTGTCCTGAAAGAGCTGAACGTTTTGATTTATGATTTTGATGAAACGGCACAAAAACTGTGGAACGAGAAAGATGCTGATAAACGTACGGAAGAAAAATGGATCACAATAGTGTGAATGCTTCATAAATGTTCACACAATGAGGAGAACCACCAAGAAGTAGAGGAGTGGAGGTCACCTAGTAGATCCACGTAAGTACTACTGATCTTGTGCTTCTGTCATGATGTTGGATTTGTTACTCCTCACAAACTTTGGAAAACATATAGAATATACATCCAGGCAGGCAGCATACTCGAAAGCCTTCTGGTGGTAAAACAAAGACAAATCATTGATGTGTTTAATTTAGGCACAGTTCATAGCTGGAACATAACCGATTTGGCGTTTTTGCATTTTCTACAGTTTTTACACATTTACAGTACATTTACTGTTCAGCCGTGACCCATGCCATCTTTCTCACAGGCACCCAGGGGTAAAAAAAACAGAAGGAGACTCCTCCACCCCCCACCCCCACTCACTACCCAACAGCCCCTGCAGCAACACAGAGCATCTCGTACTTCAGAACCAGTAAGAGAGCAACAGGAATAAAGAACAAGTGAGAATCATTACAGTATTTTTATCTTCTTTCACAAAAATATTTCTACATTTAGATGAATTGTGTTTTTGTTTTTTCTAAAATCAGTGCCCAACCAAACTACTTAAGACCTTCATTGTAGCCGAGAACAGAACTTTTTTTTTTTTTTAATTAGATGCCCGAGATTCTACATAAAAACACCAGACACATAACAATTGACCTGTGTCAGATGTTTTAGCCACTCACGGTCCAGAATTATTTTCAATACAATATATAGTTTGCTTGTGGATAAGAGTGCTATCAGGGAGTGAGAGACACACAGATATGTGGTTGCCATGGTTACCCAAACGTGCCACTGGCAGCATACCTGGTACCTGTGTTGGTACAGGTACTTTGCCATTAAGGAGCAGCTTGTAATCACATAAACTGAGAAAATGTCAATATTTTGATTACAAAGTACCTGGTATATACGTGGTATGTACTGGATTTGCACAAGTAAGATACTTGGTATGTTAACTAGGGTTAGGGTTAACCTAACCTTAACAAAGAACTTACTGGGTACTTGCATGGTATTTATCTTGTACTTACAAGGGACCTAAAGGAATCAGGTCTTATACTGAGGGGACTTGTCACCTTGAACTTACAGGGTACATACCTTGTAGGTACCCACTTGGTACCAGGTAGAAACATGCTAGGTGACTTCCTAAAAATATGTCAATTACTACCTAGGTACCTTATTGATACCACTTACGTACCACGATAAGTATTGGGCACGTGCCCCGAAAGATACCAGGTACTATCTAATAGGTACCAGGTATGTTCACTGAAAGTTACCAGGCACGTACTCCAACAGGTACCAGGCATGTACTCCCAACAGGTACCAGGCATGTACTCCAACAGGTACCAGGCATGTACTCCCAACAGGTACCAAGCACGTACTCCAACAGGTACCAGGCATGTACTCCCAACAAGTACCAGTTATGTACTCCAATAAATATTATCAGGCACATACACCAACAGGTACCAGACACATACTCCAATAAATATTAGGCACATACTCTTAATAGGTACCAGGCACGTATTCCAACAGGTACCAGGCACGTGCTCCAACAGGTATTAGGCACATACTCCAGTAGGTACAAGGCACATACTCTAATAGGTACCAGGCATGTACTCCAATAGGTACCAGGCACTTACTCCAATTGGTACCAGATCGGTACTCCAAATGGTACCAGGCACGTACTCCAATAGGTACAAAGTAAATATCCCAATAGGTTCCAGGTGCGTACCTGGAAAATACCAGGAATATACCCTGTAAGTACTGGGTTTTATTATGCATTGCTACTGAAAGTGTTTGCATGCTGGAATTTCAAGTATCCTTTGCACTGACGTCCTTTGATTCAACAGGTTTTACCCAGAAGAAAAAAAAGGTGCACTTTGTTTGATAAAAAGCTGAGAAGGCGTGTTCCAGCTCACCTTCCCTCTGTCAAAGTTCTGGATGATGGTGAGATGCAGAAACTCTTTCCTCTGCCACTCGCTCTGCATGGGGTAGTTGAGGAACTCTCGAAGCGGCCGGTCAGACCACTCCAGTAACTCGTCGTACAGCAGCAGGGTGTACGACGCCTCTGAGATGCACACAGAGATAAAAAGAAGCAAAGATGTCATCATCACGTAGGAGCAGCTGGAAGTGATTTTATCTTCTCAGAAAACATGCCAGGCTCTGGCGGCTTAAAGAAACTGCAGCTGTCGTAGGTTTTAGTGTACCTGTGTAGTTCTGCGCCTTTAGGTGCAGGTCGTACAGTTTGTGGATGTAACGGATGTACATTTCTTCCTTGTTCAGCTCTGTTTTGTAGAAGTTCTGTCAGAAAGAAATGAGGGAAAGAGAAATAAGATTACAACAATTTTAGTTTAGACACGTGGGAGAACAGGAACCTAAAAGTAAAAGTGCAAAATATCAGTTGCAGATTTATTTTTTTTACAGATTTCTGATTAAGATGTACATCATTTATAGGGAACACATTTATGCCCCAACACCATTTAACAGGAAGAATCATTTTAAATGACAGTACTACTACTTTATTGGATAGTAAAACTCAAAAATACTAGCTGAAGTGCTACATTGTCTTTATTTGCTTTCAGTGCTAATTGTGTCCAAAATTACTAAAATTATTAATTTTTTGTTTAAAATCTAAAAAGCGTCACGGTGCCTGCATTTTGTCTTAAATATGGGGTTTTGTTTAGAAAAATTTTACCCAAACAGACGTTTTTTTTTACAAATAGCTTTTCCTTTTTTATAAAAAGCGCCTGTTTTATTAGTTTAAATCTTCACGCTAAGCAAGAGTATTAAAGACATTTGTCTCGTTCAGTCAATTTCATCTAAATTATTTTTATATCCTGGATTAGACTGACAGTTTTCTTTTCTTGCAACCGTCCCAAGAACTGCAGTTCTGACTTGTTCCGATGATGGATTGGTATATTATGGGTCCAAGTTGTTTTTGTGCAAAGTTCACAACGTTGGTTTTAGGGCCTTTAGGGAACAACTCTAAATGATTTGTTTTGCTGTTCAGTTTTTAGCAGCTAATTCTCAGCTTGAGGAAAATGCTGAAAACAAACCCCCACCATCCATCACCTCGTTTGACATAACTGCCAGGAAGAGGTGGTTATGTCAAACGAGGCGACTTTCCACTGAATTATTTAGCTGCTGCTTCGGTTAGCTCCTCGGGTGACCAGATGTAATTGTGCGGGACTGTCTCGCATCTTTAACTCCTCTCCTGGCGACCTGCAAGTTAAAACGGTGTCCCACATTTGACCCAGTCAAATTATGAAAAGTCAAAAATATAAATGAATAATTGGCATGCGTTATCCAGCGGCTGTAATTTTAGCCACTGGATAACGCCTGTTTCTCTCTGTCTCACTGTCAGTCACAATCCGCAGCAGCATCCCTGCACCATGGCCATCCAGCGTGCCACCATATTTAACTAGAGACAATGCATTTCCTGTGAAAATGCAGTGTGAATGTATATTGCTTAAGAACTTGCTGAAAAACAGCTGACAGTAGCTAAAAACATGCTGAAATCTACCTGAAATGGAAGAACAAGCCTAAATTAGCTGAAGAAAGCAAAAAGAACACATATTTGCAGAATTAAGTTTAAATAAACAGAAATGATCACAAAAATTTGGAAATTAGCTCAAAAAGCTGAAATTTGCACACAAAAAAGTGCTGAAAAGTAGCTGAAAAAACAGAAAGAAGCTTAAATTACCAGAAGGAAGTGGAATGAGCTGAAATAAACTTTAAAAATGTGGAATTAGCTGAAAAGGTTAAAACTAGCATAAGACAGCTAAATAATGGCTGAAATAGCAGAAAAACCTGAAACTAGCATAAATATTCTGAAAGGAGCATAACAAGTTGAAATTAGCTGAAAGACGCTGTAAGTAGCAGAAATTACCCAAAAAACTTGAATTTTATCTGAAAACAGCTGAAATTAGCTAAAAAAAAATACTAAAAACTAGCTGAAAATGTAGAACAAGCTTAAATTAGCAGAAGAAAGCAGAAAGAACACAGTTGCTGAAAGAAGCAGAAATGAGCACAAGAAGTGGAAAAAGCTGAAATTAGCAAAAAACAACAGAAAAGTAGCTAAATTACCAGAAGGAAGTGGAGATAGCACATTTTTGATAAATTACCAGTAGGTTGAAAAACGTGGAAAAAATGTGGAATTAGCTGAAATTTTTTTAAAATTAGCATAAACAGCTAAATAGTAGCCGAAATAGCAGAAAATGCTGAAACTTGCAGAAATAAGCTGAAAGAAGCATAACAAGCTGAAATTAGCAGAAAGAAGTTAGAAGAAGCACAAAAATGTTCTAATATATGATTTGTTGAAATAACACAAAAAATGTGGAACGAGAAAGATGCCGAAAAACGCACGGAAGAAAAATGGATCTCAACAATGTGAATGATTCATTCACACAATCAAAATAAAAACGGGGCAAGAAAAGGGATTCAGTTTTCCAGAACACTGTACAATGTCAAAGAAATGAAAATGCAGCTCCAACACAAGCTGGGAAACAGCTTCCAACTGGGTGAGGTCAGCGGAAGTTGGTCCTCAGAAAGCTTTTTGTGGAGTTTGTCAAAGTTATTTTTCTACTTCTCATGGAGGAGAACACGACATGAAGCGACACTGTAGTGACCCGCACAGGAAACACACAGCTCATTAATCTGCCTTTCAATCTACGGACACATTTCTACTCAAACCCAAAAAGTCTGCCACTCAGACAAGAAAACAGCCGAGATCACCGGAGTTTACACCGAGCGCAGCTCTCAGTCCTACAGGTCGGCTGCTCCATCCAGGTGCTCTTCAAGGTGGCTGCAGGCAGGTGTGGACTTGTGTGGACCTGGTGTTATTTAGTAGTACGTACGTTTTATTTCTCTTTTTATGATAAACTTTAAAAATGTTCAACTTTAAAGAAAAGTTTAATAAAGCTTTTGCTTTCTGATAAACTTTAAAGTGGTAAATTAAAAAAACATACAAGTTAAAGTTTTTTTTTCTTAAAATCTTGGAAAAGAAAAATCCTTGTCACTGCAGAGATTGGTTAATGTGTTGTGAGATGTATAATAAATAAGTTGTGATGAGTGTGTCGGGATCTGGCCACCCTATCCGCTCCCCCGACGTACGTCACGTTTCTCTTGTTTGAACAAAGTTCTTTGTTTGACTCTAGTTTCCATCCTTTGTAATTAGGATGTTGAGGAATGGTTAACAATTAATATCTTACCTGCAGTAGATATCTATTTGAAAAATACAAATTTAAAGAAATAAAGTTAGATTCTGCCTGCACTGACAAGCTAACGGCTAGTCCGAGAATGACCAAGACCAAAGTGGATTGCTGTCATCTTAAACCAAATTAAAATTTATAATGGTTCGATTGCTATTTTATTCTTTCTTATTTATTTATATAGTTAGTTGTTTTTTCTTCCCATAAGTAGATTTTAACAAACAAAAAGTAAACATAAGTTTACCAGGTCAGTGCTCTGAGTCAAAAAAAAGAAAGAAAGAAAAACAAATAGGGGGTGGGTAATTAAAAAAAAAATAGTAATAACAATTAAATAAACTACAAATAAATTCTTATAACGAGCACAAAAAAAAAAATCATTGAATGCATAAATTAGGCCTTTCAGTTTTGTAAACTACTTTTAGAAATCACAGTCTGTTTCACATTACACGCTAAGGTGCACAAAATTCTTAGCGTGTTTGCGAGCACAAACAGCAGCAGCTAGCTGTAGCACTTCCTGTGACACAACCAGCAACTATGACATCGCTGCCAGAATAACTGCGCAAGGTGAAACCGGAGGCAATGTAACGTTTTGTAAAAAGTGCCGCACGAACTATGAAGGTTTTGATCCGTCAAAGAACCATCTACGACAGGTAAGATATTGATTATTCATAACCATCCACAGAACACCACTCCAGTGAAGTGGTGTCATTTAAACATTTGCCTTCCAGTTAGCTTAAAGACAGTTTTAGTGGCTAGCTTACCAGTAAGCTGACAGTACAGCCAATCTTCTTGCCGTCCACTTCGCCCAGCTTCATGCAGTCCCTGCAGTAGAAACACGAACAACCGCGTGAGACGACAGCGGAGGGATGAAAACAGACGAGCGTGCACCTCTGGGAACACGTGCGCGCACTCCGACCTGTAGTCCAGCAGCCTCTCCATCAGCCGAGTGACCGTGGCGATCAGAGAGATCCCGCTCTCCCTCCACGTCTCTCTCTCGATCTTCTTCAGCAGGCTGCGGGACAACGAAGAGCGACAAGACAGAGAGGCGTGAGGACCAGAAGAGACACGAAGGCAAGCGACAGAAAGGAAGAGAGAATGGTAAAGAAGCAGCGATGGGGGGAAATACTAAGAAAGAAAATGACACAAAGCAAAGAGGAAATCAATCTCAGTCACGCCAGTGTCACCTATGCTTTGCTGGCTTTCCTGCCGGAGTTTCAACAAATAAATAGTTTTATGCCTAAATCAGCAAACAGCCAAAATATTAATGTGGCTTCGTTCGTTATAGGTTGGCAGCAACAATTGTTCCCGTTTCCCCTCACACAAACGACACAGAGAGCAAAAAGGAGAGCGTCTTACCTAGGGTATGGGCCAAACAGAGGAATTCTACTCCAGGCGGGAAGCATAGGTGGAATAAATTAATATTAACATGATTAAAATTAACACACGCACACACAGGCTAGTTTACGGGTTAGCGGGGTTTGTAGGAGGCACAGAAAACAAAGATAAAAAGGAAATAAGCAAACACTAAAATAAAAGAAACAAAACAACAGCAATATAATATATAATTACTCTGCGAGAGTAGATTGACTTATTAAACTCTAAAAATGACTCGCATGTAAAAATGAGGAAAACGAATGAGTGAAAGACACTGGCCCAGTTAAAGCAGACGTATTTGGATCAAACACTTTGTAAGATCACACTTAGAGGCTGTTCAGACTTGTTACAAATCTGTTCCAGCGGACTTGACTTCAAGCGGGCAGCTCTGATGCCTCTGTTCACACTCGGTGGGAAACTGCGGACAACAAAATGCTTCTGTGACCCGGTATTGAGCAGCGGTGTATAGAGTTGTCTCTTGATAAGCCTAACAAATGCAATAAAAGGAAAATATAGACACTACATCGTCATCCCTTATGTTGCTGGAGTATCTGAGAAACTGAGAAGGATTTTCTCCAAACACAGCGTCCCAGTATAGGCCTGTCGCGATAAACAATAAATCAATTAATCGCACGATAAATTAAAATTATCTACCTCGTTTTCATTTATCGGCTTTATCGTTTCTTCATGTCTCTTTCCTTCTGAAGACACTGGATGACAAAAGACTTAACTCCAGTGCTCTTCACTGACACCTTCCTTTCTCTTTTCTCTTTAAAATCCATTTTAACCGTCCAAAATTGCATTTTTGGATCATTAAAAGCAGCTAAGCTAAGAAGCTAAGCTACGAGCTAAGCTAACAGGCCGACCTTGGGAAAAAACCTCTGTCTTGTCGAAGCTCCAAAAGTCACAGTTGGAACCCGTGCCTTCGTCTAAAAAGTTTTTCTCTGCAAAAAGAAGCTGAGAACTTGTTTACTGATTTTTTTTTATTACAAGCTTTGTGTGAAAAATGCTATGCTAAACAGCTCAAACCACACCGAGCGTCCAGCATTTTGACAAGCGAAGAGAGACAGCCCATGTCACGTCAAGGGGCCTCCCTCTCATTTTTCTTAAAGAGATACACTGCTCGCTCCCTCACTATCCATCCTTCGGTTCAAACAGTCTTATACTACCATCTAGTGGTCGTAAAAAGGTACTACACACGAAACAAATGATCAACATTTCTTCTTAACTTTGACAATAATTACTAATTATTGTCAAATTTCAAACAATATTATTGTTTATCACAATAATTTCTGAGACAATCGCCCAGCAAAATGTGTTATTGTGACAGGCCTATCCCAGTACATCTCAAATCCAACAGGACTCAGACAGAGGCTGGTCCACCTGAAGGACAAAACACAAATACTCAAGCAGAGCGGTGTGGTGTCTGCAGTCCAGTGCAGCGAGGAATGTCCCGATCTCTATACTGGAGAAACCCAACAGCTTCTTCACAGACGCATGGCTCAACAAAGGAGAGCCAGCTCTTCAGGACAAGACTCAGTGGTTCAACTACACCTCAAGGATAAGGGACACTCTTTTGAGGACCGAGAAGACAGATGGTTTAAGAGGGGAGTGAAGGAAGCCATCTATGTAAAAAGAGAGAAACCATCCTTAAACAGCAGAGGAGGTCTCAGATTTCAACTTTCAAAAACCTATAATGCATCTTCCAATCACGAACTTCATTCATGTGACCAGAGTGGCCCATCTGTGAGTCAGACCAATAAAGACCCTAACGATCCTCTATTGCAGGTGTGCCAAACCCACTTACAAAAGGGGGCCAAAATTAAAACCTTTTTCAAACTAAGGGCCGGTTTCAGAAACTACAATAAGTCAAATTAGATATCCAAAATCTTTTATTGGTCGCAGGTTCCTCAACAAGAGTTTGATTGTCTCATTTGACGTTCTCTGTTGCACTTTTGACATGATAAGTAAAGATTATTGAAAAAAATTAAAGTAATAAAAGTATTTTACATTTAAAACAACATCTTGGGGGCCAGACAAGATGTCCACGAGGACCACATTTGGCACATGGGCCTCGAGTTTGACACATATGCTCTATTGTGAGGAGTGAAAGGGCAACCTGCATGTGTACCTAGCTTACAGAACACCTCAGCTTTATAACTCAAACCCCACACACTGTTCTTTGAATTGACAGCTCCTCGGATGAGAAGCGAAACATCTTCAGCTACGAATAAAGTCCAGTTGTTTTTGTCTTGAACTTTCTTTTTTAAATTATTTACCATGTCCTGGATGACTGACGATATTCACCTGCAACAAATCTGAACAGCTTCTTGGAGATAGAGGAGACATTTGTTATGCTAATGAATCAGAAGTCTTATTACTTAACACAATACCATTTCTGGAAAAAAAAAGAGTTGAAATGTACATCACACACATACAGAGGCGTGCACACACAATGAGCATGCATGGACACAAATCTGAAAACGGGGAGAAAGAATGAATAAGGAGGAGTGAGGGTGAAAGTGACTGAATGCCCCAACTTACCTCTTGATTGGCTACTTATACTAATTGTTTCAGTACAGAAATTCCTACTGCTTTTTATTTAAAACTCAAATTAGTTGGTTACCTGAAAATAAAAGGTGCTTTGTGGTCCGAAATATTCAATCTACTATTTGAACTTGATTCTACTGAATCCTGGCGACACATTTGTCAAAAACAAGCCCCTCGGCTCTGTTTTCTGTTGCTTTTCATCGACTCACATGCTGTTGAAGAGCTCCCTGTACGTCTCGTCTCCTTTGCCCTCAGACATCAGGCTGTCCAGCTTGTCGATCAGCTTGGCCTCCACCTGCGAGGAACAAGCGTTTTAAAACACTTTCAGTACGCTCAATTGAACTGAACGGGAACCAAGAAAGAGCTAAAATCTCCAGAGATGTCAAAAATAAAATAAAAATTTCTCAAGACATTGTAAAGATCTCGTATATAAGCACGATGATGAAAGTTGTATAGCAGTGATGCAACGTTATACAATCTCATGCTGCGCTATGCTAATGCTCTGCACTGCCACGGATTTGCGTCGCTTTTAATTTTATTGCTTTTAGTTATTGCTCGACTTTCTTATCAGTCCCATTTGAGTTTCACATCAGTGTATTCCCCTGCAGGAATTAACAAAAACAAATCTTTGGGTTGAAATTGTCTGCGTGCCCGTCACTTCCCAAAGGTTCACTTGTAAAGAGGATTATATGTGTAAGTGACAGTATACTGTCCTCTAACAATCAAATTGTAAAAAGACTTCTGCACCATTGAGATCCTCAAGACCAATGATATTTTGAAAAATGATGGTGACTTCAACAGATTTTCTGTAGTTAACTTTGATGTCATTTCCATGTTTTTAGTCTAAAAGTCTAAAAGAAATACCGTTTTGCAAGAATTAAGTCAGATACAGTTGTGTAACAATTCTCATTTTTACAAAAGAAATATGTTCTGGTGATAGAGAACTTTAATCCCTGCCTCTGTTTTCTTGTACTCAATATATATATTGAGGAAGTCCTCTGGATGGTGGACGAAACGCTTCTCAAAGAAACTGGTCCAGATGACACAATTTAACCTTTTTTGTTGATATGAATAGTTTTTTCGTCAGAAAAAAAATAAATAAATAAATAAATAAATAAATATATATATATATATAAATTTAACAACGTGGTTTTTGCTGAGTACATAGTGCATTCTAGAAGTTTATATAGCGTAGTACAGTGCCAACGGTATCTATAGTCTTTCTTAGTACCTGTTGCATACCACCTCTACCTACATGATGTGTACTTGTACACGACTGGCATTTTAAAGTCCACAAATATGAACCTGGAAGAAAACTGATGTTCAAGTTGCTGTTGTGAGTTTGATGTGGACTTTATTTGAGGATGACACCAACAGAAGACCATGTGGCAATTTGAGATACCGGTATACTAGACTGAAGCAACAAAAAGAACAAGATCCAGAAGATGGAAAGTGAGACCACGCCTTAATGTTGACAGAAGACCGCAGTTCAGATGTTAGCACAGGCTGATGGAAGAATGGCAACAGATTCGCTGCAGCAACGCCACACATAATTACATATCACACCAACAAAAACACAGAGACAGTTACACTACAAGAAGTTCGCCTACCTCATTCTAATACCGTAGTATGCCGTAACTTTTCCACACTTCAACCCACCAACAAAAAATATGCCCACCATTACCTTTACATTACATCAAACACATCGATTCTGACTAAAATACTATTCATATCCACAAAAAGGTTAAATTGTGTCATCTGGACCAGTTTCTTTAAGTGAGAAACGTTTCGTCCACCATCCAGAGGACTTCCTCAGTCTACGGCCTGCCAGCCAGATCTGTCTCACAGGTAGCCCTCACTGCTGTGTTTCAAGCCAACCTCCTGTGCAATCTGGCCCAAAACATTTGATTGTTGTACGTGATGATTGATTGTTTTGGATGGGTGTGTTTCGTACATGTTAAAAGTCTGAGAGTCCAACAGGAGGTTGGCTTGAAACACAGCAGTGAGGGCTACCTATGGGACAGATCTGTTTGGCTGACCGTAGACTGATGATGAAGTCTTCCGGATGGGAGACGAAACGTTTCTCACTTAAAAAAACTGGTCCAGATGACACGATTTAACCTTTGTTGTCGTTATCTACCTGGATGATGGAGCCTACAAACCCCTTTCTTCACACCAACATGTTATGATCCATGGAACAAAGAATTACAAAATAGGTCAACATACTGTTCATGATAAAATTACATAGAAATCTCATTTTGGTCAACAAACAATTTATTCATGGACAAGTTTGGACAACTTTTGGATAAGTTCATCAGTTTGGAAAGGAAAAACTCTTGTCCTGGGTTGTATGGGTGTTTATCACTTTATCAGTAACTCCATAGCAAGTCAGGATGCCTTATGCATGCGATGGAAAACCAGCACAAGAGATCAAACATTTTTCAGTCAGGTCATCTGGACAGTTTCTTTTATTGTGCTGAAATGTTTCGCCTTCGGTCCGGAAGGCTTCATCAGTCAAAGAAACGCACAACAAAACTGATTCTTCCTCTAACAGCTTACTCCAAAGTGGAACAAACCAGTTCTGCTTGTGAAGTCCAAAGCTGGACTTTTTTGTTTTCAACCAGTTTGACAAGACTGTCAACAAGGAAGAGGGCCGGCAATGGAGGAGGGGGCGTACCAAAGAGACCATCTTATCACAAGCAGAACTGGTTTGTTCCACTTTGGAGTAAGCTGTTGGGGGAAGAACAAGTTTTGTTGTGTGTTTCCTTGACTGATGAAGCCTTCCGGATCAAAGGCGAAACATTTCTGCACAAAAAAAGAAACTGTCCAGATGACCTGACTGAAAAATGTTGGATTGCATACCTGGATTATTGAACATGGACTTTGCAGCACAAGAGATGTTGCTGTGAACCATTAATAATCTTTCAAAGGAACATAAGATGGAAAATGTATCTTCTTTTGAGCTTAAGGGGATGTGGAAATCTGAAGTCAACTTTACTGTGAAAACTCTAAAAAACACAAAGTTATTCAAGATGTTCTAGCTGGAAAAGTTTTCGTGTTACATCCCTTTTAGGAAGTGGTCAGACAGCAGCATACCTGCTTGAAATTTCCGCTGCGTCTCTGCTCCCAGTCCATCATGTCATGGAAGATGGGGATCATGACATTCCTCAGATCAGGCTGAGGCACCAGGGTCACTTCCAGGAAAGGTCCAATCATCGCCGGAATGAAGTGCAACTTGTGCTCCCCTGGAGGAGACACAGTTCAACGCACAGGTCAGACTTTCACTTTGACCCCAGCAGAGGGTTTAAATCAGAAACGGCCTGCACGGCAGCCCTCCCTTTTCCAGCCAAACTGAAACCGTCTGAGCTGCAAAAGTTCTCAAAGTGACTTTTACTCTGATCCATCCCAACCTGAAGAGACTTTTTATTTTTGTCAACGTACGCAGCTTTAAAGTGCACCTCAAACTGTGGAAAAAACACAACTCAACAGTGGAAATGAGGGAAAATAAAACCGTGCGGCTCAATCAGAGAACAAAGGCGTTCATTTGAAACAGACAGAGATGTCCATCTTGTTGCCATGGTGACAAATCACTTTCGTAAGACAGAGTTTTTTAAGATGCCATGAGCTCAAGTTCAAAGAAAAACAGAGGCATGTTTTGAGACCGTCTTTACTTTCTGTGACGCCAAGTTCAGCAACTCTGTTTAGTCGATAAATGTCCTAATTTGTGATTTCATCTGCTCACCTAAATTCTGCCACATGCTGAAGATTTCACAGCCCATCATCACCCTCATGTCTCCATATCTGCATGACAAAAGTAACGTTAGGAATGCAGGTGCACTGTACACCCTGTGTCTTTCACATGAGATGAAAGTGTGTTTATTTGTGACAAATAAATTAAAACTTACTTTTCCAGTATTTTCTTCCTCTTGGAGGGAGAAAAGGACTCCAGCTGAAGACAAAGCTGGTTGATGAAGATTACAGACAGACAGAAGTACGAGTCCCAAACCTGAAAATGGCAACACATTAAAATTATGTATGCAACTTGAACATTTTCTGGATTTCACAATTCAGTTATGTTTAATATTCACAGATTCCTAATAACTTTTCCTTCTTTTTCTAATCTTCTGCATTAATTTGAAAGAGCATCAGATTGATTCCCATCTTAGATTTGGTTAATCAAATATAGTTCCTCTCTGTGTCACACTGAGACTTTTTGACTTAAATAATTTATCAAAAAACTTTAAAGGCATAAATGAGATCGAGATCTTATTAAGTGGAGTTCAGTGGCAAGATATGGTCAATTAACATGTTACCCGCTGTAGCTAGCACTTTGAATGATAACTAATTAGAGAAATGCTAAAGACTAGGCCTTAGCCTGTCTAAATAAAGCTAAAGGCAAAAGGCTAGGCCTTAGCCTGTCCAAACTAGGCTAAAGGTTAGGACTTAACCTGTCCAAATGAAGCTAGAGGCTATGACTTAACCTGTCCAAATTAAGCTAAAGGCTAGGCCTTAGCATACACAAATTAAGCTAAAGGCTAGGCCTTAGCCTGTCCAAATTAAGATAAAGTCTAGAGGCTAGGCCTTCGCCTGTCTAAATTAAGCTAAAGGCTAGGCCTTAACCTTTCCAAATTAAGCTAAAGACTAGCGGCTAGGCCTTCGCCTGTCTAAATTAAGCTAAAGACTAGAGGCTAGGCCTTCACCTGTCCAAATTAAGCTAAAAGCTAAAGGCTAGACCTTAGCTAGACCTAAATAAAATGGGTTTCTATTATCTTAAAACAACTTTGGCATCAAAACATTTCATAACGGTTTACGCAAATGCTATTTTATAAACCTTTGCATTGTTATTTAGATAATTCTAGTTATTTATTAATATTAGCAACTGGAAAATTAGCTTGCTGGAGCACTTTTGGACAAATATTGTATCATTTCTACTGGAATAACTCCATAATAAAAAAATTAAAAAACCTGATTGTGTTATGAAGATTCAAGAATAGTCTTTGTATAAACTGCTATGACATTTTGAGAATGGTAATGTTTTAATACGGCAACATTCCACTTTGGTATTAGGAGCCATTTGCTTGTCAGTCCGGTCAGAATTTAACTTCATTTCTCTAAGCTGAGGTGGTTTAAAGAGCTATCATCAACAGGTAAGAAGTGAATAGATCATAACCACAAAATCCCAATTCAAATAATCCAAACTATTCCTTCCATTTAATATAAATTTCCTATCATCCTGGAAGAAAGCTCATTCTGTGACCCTTTCAGAGCTAACGTAGTTGTTGGTCAAACACTTTTAAACATCTACGGACTCTGCTGCTTCAGAGCGAGCCAGTCCTACCTTATAATCAAACTTGTCATTGAGAAAGTTTTTCCTCAGAGCATCAGAAAGGTAGAGGACAGTTGTGATGATGACACTGAAAGAATAGGACAGAAACACAGAACAAAAAGTGGAGGGAGAAAGTTTCACCAATTCATTATTTTTGATAAAGTATGATGTGAAAAAAATACTAACATTTATATTGCCACTAGATATTCGTGAAGGACAAAGACAAATACCCTCCGAAAAGACAAAGCAGAGGAATATTGTCGGGAAAAATGCTTGAGTTCCTGTTTGTCCTCGTTTAAGTTGTTTTATTTGTCCGTGTGGAGCGTGATTGTGGTCTTACTTGTTTGTGACGAGCCGCATGACAGTCCAGTCTTTAGGAAACATCTCTGGTCTGATCAGAATTCTGAAGACTGTGAAGATATGAAGGAGGAAGTCCTGCAAAGAGACAAAAAAAAAACAAAAAGGAGAGAAAAATGTTAAAACTTGTTATTCATCATACTTTAACTATTTCCTGTCTGTGAAATGCACAGAAAGTAAAACGATACGGATTAACATGGCATGCAGACAAATAAACTAGAGCCCGACCGATATATCGGTAGGACTGATAATTTAGGCTGATATAGATGTTTGGGGACATCTTGGTATCGGTGATAATTGTCCCATTATGCGCCGAAATAAATGCTTCTAACTTTCACTCCTAAAATGCTGAGCTGTAATTGTACAATGTTTCCAGCAGAGGGCGCATGCAGACTATTTTTAAGTCATGGCTGTTCACTTTAAGTTTCGCTTTCATCACAGCCGAAGCAGGGAGCAATACAACAGTGTATTTTGCTGAACAGAGCATGCCAAGTTTATTTTAAATGAAATGTAAAATTAAAAAAAAAATTAATAATAAATTCTCTTCAATCCTCCAACCCACTTGTCATTAGCTAGGTGCTTCTCAAGTTAGCAAACTAACGTTTAGATAGCTTAGCATAGGCTACTGCCTTGTAAAACTTTATCCAGAACAATAAATCTTACGCAGAGGTAAAATATATCAGTGTTAGTAACGTTATCTTTGTCGTCCTCAATGAAATTTTTTTTTTTTTCATTTAGCCTTTATTTATCCAGGTTAGTCTCACTGAGCCACGAGAACTCATTTTCAAGAGAGACCTGTTTAGGGAGCACATGGTGGGGTTAAGGGCCTTGCTCATGGGCCCAGAGTGGGGCGAATGAGGGTGGGGGTTAAGTGTGGGTGTTTCACCTACCCCACCCACAATTTTTGATGTTGTCGGGGCCGGGGCGTGAACCGGCGATCTTCGGATCACAAGCCCACCTCTCTAACCTCTGCGCCACCACTCCCCCATGTGCATGCATTGCACATGGGGGAGTGGAAATGCATTGTTTCTCTGAAATCTTTACTTCTATGCAAAAAAAAAATAAAAAATTTTACATGTTGCTGCGGATTATACTAATTAGACCTTGAACATACATGGATGACTGTTTAAACAATGAACAGGGAAGGGCGTTTCTTTTTGTAATTAAAATTTTTGTTACACACCTGATAACTTTATGGTGAATAGTCGAGGACAGAAAATGTTAACGCCTGTTATGAAGACTGTTTTTATGACCAGTGCACCACTTGTAAACCTAGTGTGGGACTGGTTATAACGTGGATCTGATTAGCTTAGCTTCATGGTTGCTAACAGCTGCGCTAAATAAACAATCCCCGCTCCACTCGCTGTTTACTTAAGATTCTTGGGGGTGGACAAAGCTAAAAAAAAATTTTTAGCCATTATATTGTTTTTCGGCAATAGCCTTCCCCGTTCAATATCAGCATTGGCAATAGCCAAAATTTCCATACAGGTTGGGCTCTAAAATAAACAACAAACACGAGAAAAGAAAAGATGATGCGTCTGTCTCACCCTCAGGTCATCTTTGTTGCTGAACGCCTGCAGCAGCTTCTGGTAGTGCTTGTCAGTCATCTGTCGCAGAAGAGCCAATAAGCATGCCACAAACTCCCCCTGATGGAACGGACACAGAACAGAAAGCTTGTTAACAAGGATTAGTCTTTAGAGCTGCTCTGAATTACTAGAATAACAACATTTAATGCTAATGAAATAGGCAACGATGACAGATCATCGCAGTGTTCTGAGGACCTGACTTTTAAAAACACTTAATTTTTTAAATAAGGTGTTTTTTGTGTGTTGGGGATGGATCAGAAGTTGAAAAAAGCCTGTTTGAATGCGTTTCTTGTCAAAGCTAAAATATTCCTACGAAACCTGCTTAGGGTCACAATTCCTACAAGTCGTGGAGACAAACTTTATCGTCATGGTAACTGAAGCATAAATATGATTGCTGCTACGCTCCTTAGAGAGGTCCAGATCGAAAGACTTCACGAACCACATGAAACCATTTTATGACTGTTCAAACAAATCTACCTGCTGCCAACCTTTGGACCTTTCTCCATGAGAGTAACAGCAGCATTCTGCTTCTTTTTTCCTGAGGCATTAATCTAACACAATAAATAATGAATAAATAATAACAATAACAATGAAATATTTTTGGTCTTTACTAACAAAACTGATAATTATGACACTTCATTTTCTTTCTTTTTTTAATGAAGCAAAATCCTGACAGCAGCTTTTTCTAGAAAGTTACTTGAACGGCCATTTCTAGGAGACAGAATTTATATTTAGCAAGACTGATTAGCTAACAGTTAGCCCGAACGCAGCTGGGAACAACTCCAACCTCCAAGATTTCAAAGCAGTTAATTTAAACGCCATTTAATTAATTTTTTGTGACATTTCTGACTTCCAATTAACACACACTGATGATGTTGTCCTTATTCTCCACATCATTAATCCCTTCTGAGCCGTATCATAAATCCTAATTATTGCTTTTAATCTGGGTGGAATGAATCGTCGTTGTTGCAACTTGATCCCAAATCCCCAATTTCTCCTGTATATTCTGTAAAGCCCCCAAACACACAAAGAGAGACACACAGTGCACGTACAGTAACATCCTGGAACTGTAGTCTCATGGCAGGTCCAGCAGGCTGAGGCCGGTTGCTAATTTCCAATATGGTCTTCAGTAAAACTCCCAGCAGGCTTTCCACAATTAACTCCACTTCCTCGGACACCGCAGGCTCCTGAAACACAAACACGGAGCTGAATTACGGGCGACAACATGAACGGGATTATCCTTCACTTTAAAAACAACAGTTTTATCCAAAATGTGAACGCAAAACGTTTTGAGTCTAATTTCTAACTGCGCTATGCAAAAATTCCTTGAAGTTTTCTTGATTAATTTGCTTTTTGTCCAGCCATTTGGGCTGAAACTGCATTTAATGGTTTGAAACTGAATTCATTTGATTTAAAATTTCATTTTTTGTGTGTCACAAATCCAGGTCCTTCCAGAGTACCATAGTTTCCGCCGTACATGTCACACTGCAGTATAAGTCACATCACTCCAAATATGTCGAATAAAGTTGGAAAAAACACAAATAAGTCACTTTGCTGTATAGGTCGCATCTATTATGTGTCACCGGTGACGCGTTGCGTTTGTTATGCATCACCGTAGACCACCCGGAAACGTGTTGTGCCAAAAATCAATTGGCTGCCAAATGGCGGTCAGGAGCGTGCACGAGAGAACTTTACAAAAATAACCACCTAAAAACAATTATTTGTTTGCTCGACATTATAGCAAAGGTGTGTCTCAGTTGAACTTTTACTTAATAAATGCACTTTAACGGTTAAATCAGCTGCATTTCCCCTGGGCGGCGCGGCGAAGTGAAGCTGGTTTGAGGTTTGCTCCATGAGTTCTGGAGCGAGACGAAGGTGGACTGGTATGGCAAGCCAAGTGTCTCATTAATAAACAGTTTTACCTATTAATGCGACACTTGGCTTGCCAAATAGGTCGAGTGCCCCTAGCGGCTGAAAATGGTAGTGCTCAGTATTTTCCGTGTCTGAATGAATGAAATCGTCAGATCTCAGGCAAAAATTGGTTTACAAATATGGGGAAAAAACGTGTATTAGTCACTTCGGTGTATAAGTTGCAGGACTTGCAAATTTATGCAAAAGGATGCGGTTTATGCGGCAAAAAATACGGTAATCCAACGCAGATCGACAGATTGACGTTTCACGTAAGTGAAAATGTAGATATGTGGTTCAGTTTCAAGGAGGCGGTAAAACACAAAGGAGAAAAATGGAAAAATAACTCCCTTTTCGGCGTACAGTATAAAATCTGACAAAAATCTAGTGGCACCGCAGGTGCACACACGAAAGGATTCGGTGTTTCAATTTTTCGAAATGTAACAAGATTAACACCTAAAAACGATTGTTAGTTTGAGATTAAAGTAAAGGTGTGTCTCCGTTGAACTTTTCCTTAATAAATGCACTTTAATGGTCAAAACAGCTTAATTTCTCCTGACTGTTACATTATGAGCCATAATCGATCTTTGGTTGGAAGGGAAATGAAGCAGTTTTGACCATTAAAGTGCATTTATTAAGGAAAAGTTCAACGGAGACACACCTTTGCTTTAATCTTGAGCAAGCCAATAATTGTTTTTAGGTGTTAATCTTGTTAAATTTTGAAAAACTGAAACAGCGAATCCTCCCGTGTGTGCTCCTGATGCGCCACTAGATTTGTGGCAGATTTTGACAAATACTGTACGCCGAAAAGGAAGTTATTTTACTATTTTTTTCCTTTGTGTTTTACCGCCTCCTTGAAACTGAACCACATAACATTTCTGTAAAGAAAGTTTCACTAAACGTCAATCTGTGTTCGATTACTCTGGAAGGATCTGAATGTGTGACACAAAAAAAAAAGAATTTTGAAATTGAAACTGAATTATAAAACTGAAATTTTAAAGCAAATGAATTCAGTTTCAAACCATTAAATTCAGTTTGTGATGGTGTAAGTTTCAGCCCATACAGCTAGCTCATCATTGAATCATAAGCAAAAGCTGCTCTGATTCAGCCACAAACACTAAAGTCTGCAACTGCTGGCAGATCATCAGGTTTTCATCTTAATGTTTAAGTATGGTGAGGTAAAAGTGAAAGTTTCAGGGCTGTGGGTATCAGTCCAAGTTCACAAATGAAGGACAGGGGAAAAAAACTGAACACAAAGGAGAAAAGGTTGGTTAAGCATTTAAAGACAGCTCAAGAAGAGTGTGTGTGTGTGCTCTTAGTTTTGTTTCTCCCTCTGACAAAACGGACTTTGCCAAAAAATAAAAAAGAAGGGGTGATAATGAGAGGGAATCTGTGGCACACTGGCTGCCACCAGCCAATCTGTGCTGGGCGCCTTCATCGTTAGCCACCCTCCTGGTAGCCAACAACGCTATCCAGACACACCTTGCTCACAGACAAATCAGAAAAAGCTCAGTCGCTTCAACAGTCCTCACTGCTAAATTGACGAGCCTCATTAGTCGGCTGCACAACTGTCAGAACCCATGTTATCCCCCTAATTGACAATATACAACAAACAAAGCAGTGATTTACTCAGAATGTGCTTTTAAAAGTCAATCTTGTTGCTACTAAACAAAAATATATTACAATAACGGTTATTCTAATCAACAGCTTTATAAACATTAATTGACTGGATCTATTGTAAATGCATTGCTAATACGGTAAGTTGAGTCATTCGAGTAAACGCTGTTGACTAATGAGGTTCGGCTGCTCACCACGGTGCCGTTTTCTTCCTTTGTGATGAGGGAGAGCATGCTGGTGAGGATGCGAGCGCACATGACCAGGTCCCTCTGCTCCTGCAGGTGGGTCTGCAGCACTCGGAGGACCACAGGTATTAAGATGCACCGTGACTCTGCAGCACAAAGAACAACAAATGTTTAGCTCCGTAGCAACAATTAGCATGGGCATGTAATAATCTGCCCCAGAAAAATGCACATTCGAGTGTAGAAGTAGTATATCTCTGGTCTGTGACTGGTGAGGGGTAGCTGAAGAAACGATGTGAGAAAATGGCAGAATTTGCCAGGAGTTTGCATACATGTTGACCAAGAAATAAATAAAAACAGTGCTACCACTCAGGTATTAGGAAATTAAATGGGCACCTGCTATCAACTTTGTAAATATTTTGAGGGAAAATTGGTCTCACGGTTTTTAAAAACACTTTAGAAGTTCCAGCAACACAAAACTGAGGCCCTGCAGCTCATGAGAGGAAGTTAAGATCTCAACTGAACGTTTTAAAACATTTTGAAAACACCCTCGTGACTGTCACTCGCAATTTCTCTCAAACCGTTACAGCCCAGTGAGATACTACCTAACAGGACAGCGTAGTCAGGTCTGAAGTGATGTTCTGACATAAAGTTATCAATAGTACCTTATCAGACCCGACATCAAAGGGTACAGTGTATTTAATAAAGGGCAGAAATCTTTGTCCAGGCTATGCTAATGTCTAGCTAAACACAAACGCCCTTCACACCATTTTCAGGCTTAATATATGGTAGAGCCAGACAGATATATTGATAGAGCCGATATTCTAGGCCAATACTGGCATTTGGGGACATATCGGTAATAATTGTCCCATTATACGCCAATATAATCACTTCTAATTTTCCCCCATAAACTGCTGGGAATGAGCTGTGTCCTTATATGCAAAAGGCGTAATTGTACAATGTATCCAGCAGAGGGTGCATGTGGACTACTTTCAAGTCATGGCAATTCACTTTAAGTCTCACTTTCAGTGCAGCCGAAGCAGGGAGCGATACTGTGTAGAGTATTTTGCTAACCAGAACATGATAAGTTTATTGTAACTGATCTGTAAAATAAATTTAAAAAATCAACAATAATAAATTCTCTTCAACCCTCCAATCCGCTTGTCGTTAGCTAGGTGCCTCTCAAATTAGCAAGCCAACGTTTAGATAACCTAGCATAGGCTATTGCCTTGTAAAACTTAATCCAGAACAATAAATCTATCGTAGAGGTAAAATAAGTGTTAGTAACGTTATCTTTGTCATCCTCAATGAAATGCATTGTTTGTCTGAAATCTTTACTTCTCTGCAAAGAAAAAAAAACTCTGCTGTGGTCAGTACTAATTAGACCTTCACCATACATGACTGACTGTTTAAACGATGAACAGGAAAGGGTGTTTCTTATGTTTAATTTATATATTTGTAACAGACTTAACAACTTTATGATGAATAGTGGAGGATAGAAAATGTGAACACACGCTAGGAAGACTGTTTGAAGACTTCAAGTGTTAAACAGGTTTAAAAGTAGCTGTTTACTTAGATTCTTGGGGTGGACAAAGCTAAAAGTTTTGAGCCACTATAAAGGTTATAGGCATTAGCCTTCCCTTCCCAATATCAATATCAGCAATAGCTAGGCCTGTCATGATAACAAATTTTGATGGGCGATCAAATGTCTCAGAAATTATTGCGATAAACGCTAATATTGTTTGAAATTTAACAAGAATTAATAGTCAAATTTTAGAAGAAATGTTGATTTGTTTGGAGTGTAGTGCCTTTTTTGACCACCTGATGGCAGTATGAGACTCTTTGAACCGAAGAATGGATGGTTGAGCAGCGTGTCTCTTTAAGAAAAACGGGAGGGAGGGCCCTTGACGTGACATGGGCTGTCTCTCTTTGGTTCTCAAAATGGCGGACACTCAGTGATGTGAGCTCTTTAACATAACATTTTTCACACAAAGCTTTTAATTAAAAAAATCAGTAAACAAGTTCTCAGCTTCTTTTTGCAGAGAAAAACAACTTTTTACACGAAGGCACCGGTTTCAATCGTGAATTTTGGAGCTCGACAAGACGAAGGTTTTTTCCCCGAGGTCGGCCTGTTAGCTTAGCTTCACAGCTTAGCTGCTTTTAACAATCCAAAAACGCGATTTCGGATGGTTAAAACAGATTTTAAAGAGAAAAGAAAAAAAGGGAGGGGAAGAGCACCGGAGTTGAGCTTTTTGTCGTCCAGTGTCTTCAGTAGAAAAAGATAAACGTAGAAACAATAAAGCCGATAAATGAAAATGAGGTCAATAATTTTCATTCACCATGCAATTAATTGATTTATTGTTTATTGCAACAGGCCTAGCGATAGCCACAATTTCCATATCAGCCAGGCTCTAAAAAAACCCAACTCATTCTCAAAAACAACAAAATGCTACATTAGCTAATACTAAACCTTTTCCACATTTGCACAGTTTGTTTAGTTTGCCTCCATCTTCTCAACCAAGCACGTGCTGGTTGTTGTTCATATCCGTTCAAATATCTCCGCAATGTTTTTACGTTTGAAGCAGCCATTTTGTACAAATATAAACACATGCACACTACTGCAAACTAAATTCTACCTGGGTTAACATAAAGCTGGCTTTCCACTGTCTTGGCGATGCACTGCAGTTTGACAGCTTCCAGCGGACTGTCAGCCTGGACGACAGAAGGTAAACTGCCCAGCGTCTCCCTGGCAAAACCAGCCACCTCCCGCACCGTGAAGATCTTCAACAGCTCGCTGTAGATCGCTGGGAATGTTCGCAGGAACACTGCCTGAGCAGAGAAGGAAGAGGGGGAACACAGTCATATGGGAGGCTAAACGGAACGAGCACCATCCATTATTGTCACAGCCATTTAAATCACTTTGTGGATACTTTACAGCCAAAAGCCTTCAAGCTAGAAATTAGACTACAAAGAGCGGTAAAAAATATGAATGTGCGTGACTGACTCATATTGTACATAGCATTCTCTCTGTAGGTCCAATGCATCCTTTACTAAATCAGCATTGCATAATATGAAGATAATCTTGTAAAGGAGGCTCAGACGTCAAAATGCTGCAAAGCTAAATGAGCAAGTTCAGCATTGACAAATAGATCGCACCTCAAGCTATTACAGTTTATTACAAGATTCATTACTCATATACTGTATATATGTGTGTAAAGAGAGATATTGTAATGTAAAAACTAAAGTTAAAAGAGCCCCGAATCATTGAGCAGAACCAGAGTTGGATGGTTGACAGGGATTATGTGGATTAAACTGAAAGACTGTAGGGATTTTTGCCCATCACTTGTTATTGTTTTGCTGTTGGGTCGTTCTTCTTCACGTTTTGTCAGTCTCTTAATACAAAAAGGTGAAATAAAATAAGCTAAAATCTAGAATTGCATCTCAACAATTTGTTTTTTAAGCTTCTTTTTTTATCTATAGAAGCTAAGCTGTAAGACTTTTTGGGTATCCAACAAAGTTAAGTCAGATCATCTGGATGGTTTCTTTTTTTTGTTGAGATGTTTTGTATTTCATCTAAAGGACTTCATCAGTCCGAGGAGCCACAACAAACTGAGTCTCACAAGCAGTACACCCCCATAGTGGACCGACTAGTTTGCTGGCGATGATGGTTTCTGGGGTCTGCCCTCTCCCCCCTCAACTCCTCTGAAGCAGCCATAGCCAAAGTGGTTCAAAACATCAAAGTTCATGCTCAATAATCCAGGTAAAAAATCCAAAAAATCCACCAACTCAAACATTCTTTGATGTTTTGAACCACTTTGGCTAGCTGCCTCAGAGATGTTGACGGAGGAGAGGGCGGGCCCCAGAAACTATCTTATCACCAGCAAACTGGTTGGTCCACTATGGGAGTGTGCTGCTTGTGGGATTCAATTTATTGTGGCCCCTCGGACTGATGAAGTCCTTTGGATGAAGGACGAAACGTCTAAAAAAAAAAAAAGAAAGAAACTGTCCAGATGACCTGACTGAACTTTGTTGGATTTTCGACCTGGATTATTGCATGAACTTTGAAGACTTTTTGGGTAACTTTACGGCACTCTTCAGATTGTTCTTGATGTTCGAGCGGTGTTAATTGTTACACATCCAATGATACCTCCGTGGCATTACCGGTGTGTTTTCAGTTTAAATTCCTCCCTGTTTCTCCAAACTCTGACCTCTCTCATCGTTTCTGCGGCAGGTAAGATTCTCACAACTCACAAGTGCTCAACACAGCCCCAAACAACTGTTTTGACTTGAATCTGTAGTATGTGGTTGTGCGACGCATGTGTGAAACGTTGGTGTATGCTGGTCAGGGTGTGCGCCTCATGTAACAGATTAACGGGGATTAACCGTGGCCTGAGAGCACACTCCCACAGCTATTGTTTTGTCGAGAATAAAGATTAATCCAGATCAGAAGTCAGCAGAGGGCTGAAACAAAGCTTTTCAGACAGCAGGGTACATGCACTATGTGGGAGTTTAGCAGCTTTAAATCACACTAAAAGCGACCAAGAAACTGGTTTAAATAAATCTTACTGACAGGCTGCCGACGACTGTAATTTATAATTATTCACGTGAATAGAGAAGACAAAACATCAAGCATAAAAACAAACATAACGATAAATAAAAAAACAATCTTGACAATAGTGCTCAGCTACAAAACCACACAAGCATTTGTTCCCAGTGTGTAATTAGGATTATCTTTGGCATCTTTAGCTTGCTTGTTTTGGTTTTGGTTGAAATCAGCTAAAGCGGGCGCCCCGCTGCGCAGGCCTCCCTCTGGAAAAGAAGCTGTCACAAAAAAATTTTCCTTCCGCGACTCCAAACCCGCTTCTGGCAACGTGAAATTCAATTACAGCCAATTTCTCCCCCGTCACAGCCGCATTAAGAGGATTTCTCTACAAAGCAAACAAGCACAGATTCACATGTTCGTTCACCACGCGGACGTGAACGTCTCCGATGAGGCCTCCAGTGTGTGATTACAAACACACACCTGTGTCTGCGCGACCGGGCTGGTGCCTTTGCTCTCCTGCGAGAGGAAGAAGCGGATGGACATGAAGAGCTCGTGGATGCAGACTCTGAACTCTTCCTCGTTCTGGCCTCCAGTGGCCAACGAGAAGAGCCGGCGGGACTGGATGATGTACTTGAAGATGTACTCGCTGGCCTAGAGGACAGACAGGACAGCCCATCATTATTTGGTGGATACATCACAAAATGTGGTTTTTTTTTCGCACTTCATGTTTGTTTATAATTAGCACCTTTACAATTTCACTAAAATAAAAACATCTGATCTAAAAATGATGCAGAAAAACTGCTTCATGCATTTGTCACATCTAGACTGGACAATGGTTTATTATCCGAGTGTCCAAATTCTTCTTTAAAAAGTCTTCAGTTGATCCAAAATGTTGCTGCCAGAGTCTTAACTGGAGTTAGTGGGAGCGATCATATCTCACCAGTTTTAGCTTCTCTCCACTGGCTCCCTGTCAAATCCAGAATTTAATTCAAAATCTTACTTCTAACCTGCAAAGCTCTCAACAACCTAGCTCCATCTTATATTCGAGATCTTTTTGTTCCATATTTTTCTAATGGAGCACTTCACTCCCAGACTGCAGGCTTACTCGTGGTTCCTAGAGTTTACACAAGCAGAATGGAAGATCTTTCAGTTATCAGGCTCCTCTCTTGTGGAACCAACTTCCAGTTTCTGTCTGTGAGGCTGACACATTGTCCAGTTTAAGACTGGAATTAAGACTTTCCTTTTTGATAAATCCTATCGTTAGGGTTGGCTTGTTATGCTGCTATAGGCTTCGACTACTGGAGGACAAATTGACCTGATTTCTTCAAATGAATTGTTAAAATTTAATAGTTTTCATTTGATACTATTTTTATCTTAACATGTGTCTTGACCTGCCATTGTGTATCTGTTCCTGCCAAACCCAGCCGGTCGAAGCAGATGGCCGATGTCCTGAGCCTGGTTCTGCTAAAGGTTTCTTCCTCATGACGGAGTTTGTCCTTTCCACTGTCGCCTTCATGCTTGCTCACGATGAGCGTTCTGTGATGGAGTTAAATTCAAAGCAGTCTGCTCCTCAGATATATCGTGTTAAATGATTATTTATATATACGAATGTTTCTGTTCAGTGCTGAGACAACTTCTGTTGCGACTTGGTGCTATATAAATAAACTGAACTGAATTGAAAAGAAACAGCTCAGATATTTTTGAAGTAAGGTCCTATGAAAAGAATATGAACAATAAATACATCACCTGTCCTGTTGTAGATAGGTCTGTAGATAGTGAAGAGCTAATGGCTTGTTTGAGCTGCTAATGTCTAAACCTTTACATGGATTTGTATGAACATGGTTATTGGAAAAGAATGCTGCGATTTGTTCAATGAAATCCTATTGTCATTCACATCATATGGGTGCATGAGGTGGAAATTAAAAAAAAATCAGGTCTCGGTTTTAGCCCAGCAACAGCCAGTACTAGTGTAATATCAGTACTGGTCAAATAAACAACAGCAATAGTAGGATAAATCAGCAATCCAATTCAATTCAGTTTATTTATAAAACGCCAAGTCACAACAGAAGTCATCTCAGGGCACTGAACAGAAACATCCATACATAATAATAATAATTTAATACTATATAACTGAGGAGTAGACTGCTTTGAATTTAACTCCATCACAGAACTCTCAAATAAATTATATACTGTATTTTTTGGACTATAAGGTGCACCAGATTATAAGGCACATTAAGTGAAACTAACATTTTGACAGATTTTTGAATGTCGTGTACCACATGAAATCGGTAGGTCAGTAAGCACAACCAGAATTAATACATAAGGTGCAACAGATTATAAGGCTCACTGCTGATTTTTGAGAAAATTAATGGATTTTAAGTGTACCTTATAGTCCGAAAAATACAATATATACATATATAAATATATCAGCAATAAAACAGGTAGCAAAACTTGTTTATCTTGAGGAAATAGCTGTAGCAACAGCTAGCTGTAGCACATCCAGTACACCCTAGGACACACTGTTAAGGAATATTATCATCCATGTAAGGATAAACTGATGAATGTATAAAGTTTTTTTTTTTTTTTTTTTAAGATTTGCACAAAATACTATAAAATATATGAACATTCGAGTTGTTGTAAAACCTCAGTAATCCACTTTGGTGTTGGTCCCATCTGTGGAAACTGTTAGCTCTCGCCAATACAATCAGAATCAAAATGTATCTCTCCCAAGTGCGGTTGTTCAAAAAGCCTTCTGCTACAGGTAAGATATTTATTTGTTTGCAAATAAACAAAGAACACTATCATCTAAACTATCACTTTATGATGCTATACCCACCTTAAGATATTCCACTTGTTTGTGGAAATGCTGCAAACATGTTTGCGGTGTGTGTCTAAATTTTTATTCGCTGCATGACTACAGTGTGAATTTTGAAGCTGAATGAATCTGCCTGGAAAGAAACGACGAGGAATCACGACACCCGAGGCAGCAGTGATTAAAAATTCATGCAGGATAATAGACAGAGGAGGGAATTGAGGGACGGGGGCGTGATTAGTCGTGGCTGATGGAGAGATAAATGAACAAAAGTGGGAATGAATGCGAAGACGTTTGTTTATTTGTTGTTGAAGTCGTTTTGTTTTTTGTGCGAATGTGACCGATTGTGTTTGAAGACTAAAGTGTGGCTGTCCTCACCTTGAGCACCTGCTGTATGTGGTCCTGGTGCTCTGCATCAACAATGCGGTCCACGTACCACTTCAGGACTTTGATCAGGTCCCTAAAGCAACACACACACATACGCAATATCAGCATGCACCTCTGGCTGGTTCGCTTTTCTCATCAGAGCTGGCCAAAAAAAAAAAAAAAAAAAAAAGGGTTGGTGAGGCAATGCAGTGTTTTAAACTGCAACTCCAGCTCGCACAAAGTGCAGATGGGTTCCCACGACACTATTGCACTGATTTCATCAACAGAGCTCAGCTCAGTGGTAACGTTCCAGAGAGGACACAGCAAGAGGAAGTATTGCAAATGGACGTCTTCTTGTTTTACATGCTTTCAGTTTCCTCAACATTTATATCAAATATTAGACTAAAGACGTCACGTTCTCTGAGAAAAAGCTGTGTGAACACTAAATGGAAACTGAACCTGAAACGTTAAAATTAGCTGAACAAAGGCGAAATGAACAAAGTACAGGATAAAATTAGAACAGAAAAAAACTACAGACTAAAATTAGCAATGCAAACGCTAAAAACGAAGATTTCTTTTGCTACGACCGCTAAACGGAGTAGCTAAAAGCGAAGACTGAATAGTGAATAGCTAAGACTGAAAAAGCAGAAGCTAAAACCTAAAACCGGCAAAACAGAAGCCATTGGCTAAGACTGCTAAAACAGTTGCTACAAGCTAAGACAAGCAAAACAGTAGCTAAAATTTAACATTTAAAAAGGCGCTAAACTTTAAAATAAGCATGACAAAAACTCAAAGCTAAGACAGGCAACAGAGTGGCCAAAATATAAATTTAGCCAATCAAAACAGTAGCTGAAGGCTAAAAACTAAGACAAGACTAGCTCAAGAGTAGCTTAAAGAAGCTGAATGCAGAGACTTTCCTGAAACTTGCTAAATAAGCTGAAACCCAGTTGTTAAAGCTAAGTGTAGTAAAACAAAAGGCACAAAGTATTAGCTAGGAGCTAAAAGTACAAAAAGGTTGGCTAAAACAAGATAAGGTTAACTAAAAGTAGCAAAAGCTAAAGTAGCATAAGGGTGGTAAAAAGTTAAAAGAAGCAAAAGGCTGGCTAAGAGGTAAAACTAGCACACAAAAAACAAACAGAGTGAACATGCTGAAGCAAAGTACAAAAAGAACAAAGTTTTAAAGGATTTGAAGATATTTTAATGTATACCTAAGGAGAAAATATTGGTTAACCAAGTTATATATTTTGAAAAGTAGAAACGTCTCGTACTAAATTATCTCAGAAGCACGAAGCTGTCAAATCGAGTTTTCCATAAATGTAACATCAGTTGAAGCAGAAATTAAATTTGAGCTTTTGTTTAGGATTATTCAGCTCTGATTTAAACTGGATCAATCAATCAACTTTATTTCTATAGCACATTTTAAAAACCGCAAGGGTAGCCAAAGTGCTGTACAATAAGACAAAAAGACAAAGTAATTAAGACAATAAAAACATACAAAGCATACACAAAGAAACATAAAAACATGCACATACCAGTTTACCAGTCACCAAGGTTCACTGGGAATAATTTACTCATTTCCCTTCAAGAAAAACAGCAGTTGCATGTGTGCAGACTGTGTTAAATGATTAAAATGTGACACTTGGTTCAACAACATCACATGTTAAAGGGTTTAAATATTGGCTGCAGCATTTTGCAACAACAGAATGAAAAGAGCTGAAAAAGAGAGACAGATGTGCATGTCTGTAAGGAAAAGAAGAAATACAAGTTGGAGAGGCAAAAATCATCTTTATTAGTTCTCTTCTTATCAGCCAGGGGGCACCATGAGCATTTTATTCATTCCTCTCAGAAACTCAAAGCAAAGCTCAAGTAGAGACCAACCCTGAAGTGTTATTAAAACTAAATGTTTTAGAGAGGCTGCAGGTTCCTAACAGTGCTGCTGCAGTCACGAGCAGCTACACCTGTGAGAACACAGCTGAAAGTCTCAGACCAATGAGAACAAGGATGAAAGTCTCAGAACAGTAAGAAAAATGCTGAAAGTATCAGACCAGTGAGAACAAGGATGAAAGTCTCAGAACAGTGAGAACATGGCTGAAAGTATCAGACCAGTGAGAACAAGGATGGAAGTCTCAGAACAGTGAGAACA